CGACACTGACTCCTACTGCCCGTATCCTTTCCAGTTCTTTTTATAAAGAGTCTTAATTTGATTTGTAAACAAGATGTAAAAATAGTAAAAAGCAAGAAATAGGAAACTGAGCACATTGTAGAATAGGCTTAATCGAAATAAAATTACAATATTTTGAGTTTTTATTGATTCTTAATTTCGTGTAATTTTTTAGGTGGATATGACTATAATTCTACGAATTGAATAATTATATTTATTTATTCTTCTAAAAAATAATAAATCAAATACCAATTTGAGCCAACACTGATTATTAGTGTGCATTTTTATAATATTTATTCAAAGTAAATATTAAACATATACGTTTCGATCTACAGTCAAGGCCTTCTTCAGTACAAAAAAAATATATTAACAAAATTACATAATGATAACGCATAGGAGTATAAATTAATCACATATAAAATGCGAGAAAAACCGTGGTGGATGTCTGAGTTGGTCATTAAGTTAAATGACTGTCAAGATTGAACTGTTTCTATAAGGTTTGTACATGTTTTACATCCATCTACAAACAGTTATGTCGTGTCTAATATCTTTAAATTTTGTTTTATTAAATGGAACAGTTTAATGGAATATGTACAACAAATCTTATAGAAACAGTTCAATCTTGACAGTCATTTAACTTAGTAATTTAATGACCAACTCGGATATCCACAACGGTTTTTCTTGCATTTTATATGTGATTAGTTTATATACTTTATATGTGATTAGTTTTTATACTCGTATGCGCTATCATTATGTAATTTTGTTAATATATTTTTTTTTGTACTGAAGAGGACTTTAACCGTAGGTCGAAACGTATATGTTTAATATTTACTTTGAATAAATGTTATAAAAATGCACACTAATAACCAGTGTTGGCACAAATTGACATTTGATTTATTGTTTTTTAGAATTTTTTTTAGAGCCTATTGATTTTATTGTTATTTATTCTTGTTGTCAATTTGTTTTATTTCAGTTAACAATAAAACATCAACGTATGGTATAAACAATGACGTCTGAATTACAGTCAATTGAAGATTATTAAAATTCACGAATTGAAGCTCGGAAATATTAAGTTTAGAATTGGATAATTTAATTTTAATTCATCTCGTTCTAATTGATAGAATTTTGATTTTTAATTCGCAATCCTTTAATGCATGCTTGATATGGACTTTAGTAGGTAATTCTTAAGCTATTTTATTCATGATGTCTATGATGTTTTTTATTATCCTTCTTTAATATTCAGTGCAATAACAAGGATAAAATTATACATCATGTATATCATACATAAAACAGAACATTCTGTCATATATTTCTACTGGTATTCTGAATCTGAATCCAAAACACATTCAATAGACACACACACTTTGCAAGATGTGATCTTGACTATTCACCTCGAATGCCTTTTAAACTATTAAATGTTCGCAATTTCGAGATTTGGCGCCCACTTTAATATGAATACATCACTGCGCTGTTTGCGCAACTTGCGACCGCGATGCAACAGTGTAGTGTCGTGCTGTAATCAGTTACACTCGTCAGATAGTAGATGCGTGTTATCTAAAGGATTAAAATTTATTTGCAGACTTAAATATAAGGTGTGCCGGTTAAATGGATTGTTTACTGTTTGGCGTAATTATCCTCAGTTGTTCGGCGATGCTAATCGTTCTAACGAGAAGATACTTCTCGTCTCGTAGAACGAAATTATCGAAATTGCCAGAGACCTGGTGGACGCCCGGTACCGAGAACTCTGCCAACAATGACATCAGACCATACAAAGTTACTTTTTCCGAAGAGGTATTCGTAGGGTTGACAAAGTTATTTTATAGATCAAAAAATAACTTCGTTACTGTTACCACTGTTATATTTTTTATTATGAATCGATATGATTGAAAAAACGTTTCTATATATCGCTTGTTTTGAAATAGTGCTGAGACTATTGTGTAAAGAGCAATTTCATGAAATAGTTCAATTGAATAGTTAATTGTTACAGATAATAGACAATGGCAATAGAAAATATTATTTGCAGATGATAAAAGATTTGAAGTACCGATTAAAGCACACCAGACCTTTGACACCGCCGTTAAAAGACATTGCTTGGAATTATGGCACTAATACCGACGCTCTGCGTAAACTTTTAAACTATTGGGAGAACGAATATAATTTCGACGAACGCGAGAAGTACATAAATCAGTATTCGCATTTTAAAACGAATATTCAAGGTACAAGAATATGATCAACAACAAAAAGTATATAGAGTATTCTTTTGCATATTAAATATTTTTGTAGTCTGACGTCAGAGAATCAATCATGTAATTTTTTCGTCAGGATGGAAATGTAAAATGAAAATTTTGTGTATGTATGTGTATATTATATGTACATATATACATAAAAATTGTTATGTTTTTGCTTTAAAAAAGTTATACAATTGATACTCAGGTAGTAAATAAAAATTTTAAGCTTTGCAGACTATTATGAAGATGTTTATGTAATAGTAAGGATTTTAGAATCCTTAGTATTACATAAGGATTTTATTTCTAATTCTATTTAAATACTGATGTAAATTCTATAATTTTACTTATAATAAGATTTTAAGTTATAATTGTATATTCTGTTGTAATTTTATGTGTTTTATTTTATTTCAATACTATATATATTATGCAAAATTTTATATATCTATTTAAGTAAATTAAAACGAAATCTCGGATGAAATAAGTAGATGAAATAATTACTTTTTCGATCTGAGAATTCAATTTTACATATTTAGAGAAATCTATAAGATGATTTCAAAGTTGATTACATATACTTTTATGTTATTATTTTTTAATGTTACATTGAGTTACAGATTTACATATTTTATATTTAACGCAGGATTAGACATTCACTTTATCCATGTGAAACCAAATAATACAGAAGGAAAACGAGTTTTGCCATTGTTAATTTTACACGGATGGCCCGGCTCCATAATGGAATTTTATAAAATCATTCCATTACTGACCTCACCGAAACCCGAGTACGATTTTGTATTTGAAGTGATAGCGCCTTCGCTACCTGGATTTGGTTTCTCCAGCGCAGCTACGATACCTGAACTTTCGGCCATTCAAATGAGTGTGGTTTTTAAGAATCTCATGTTGAGACTCGGGTATGATAAATATTATGTTCAAGGTGGCGATTGGGGTTTCTCCGTCATCTACACTATGTCATGTTTATATCCGCAATAGTAAGTTTATTGCCTAAAATTATCAGTTAAATAAAATTGAATTAGATTAGCATGGATATTTTACATCAGTAGTTATATAATAACTGATGTTATTAAACGTGATTAAATAGTGATATATATGTTGTGCAAATTGCAGCGTTTTAGGTTTGCATTCTAATTTGTGTCTAGTGCTTAATAAATGGATCCTGCTGAAAAAGGCATTGACTATTTTGAAAGAATGGTTATTGCCTTGGGAAAAAACTAAAAAAGGAACTGGTCTTTTAATTCTTGGAGAGTTTGGATATTTGCATATTCAAGCTACGAAGCCGGATACAGTTGGTATGCGATATATTTATATCAATACGCAAAAAAGAGTTAACGTTTATATTCTAAACTCATTAATTTATATTTTATTAATTGAATGTGTTAGAAAATTTTGCGCATATTTAATAAATGAAAATCTAGTATTTTTCAAAGCGTTGTGTGTTTTAGGGGTCGGTCTAAACGACTCGCCTGCTGGTTTGGCGGCGTATATCATTGAAAAATTTTCAACCGGTACAAATCCGTCTTACAAATATAGAGCAGACGGTGGATTTCTAGAGAAATATACATACGAGGAGTTAATCGATAATCTGATGATCTATTGGATATCGAATAGCATTACTACAGCTATGAGAATATATGCTGAACACAATACCAAGTCGAATAGATCTTTGATGAGGATTTTGGAATCGTATGTAATTATTATCGCAAATTGTTATTATTGCAAAATATAAATGTTAAATATTAAGCGTCTTTTTTTTTATAGGACACCGATAAAGGTTCCTAGCGCTTGTGTACAGTTCCCTTACGAAATCTTGACTCAAAGTCCAAACGAACTGAGAACACGATTCGTGAATCTTTTACGAGTTACCAAAATGCCTCGAGGAGGTCATTTCGCAGCATTTGAAGAGCCAGAGTTACTCGCAAATGATGTATGGATCTCCATTGATAAGATGGAAGAGTGGAATAAAAAGCACAGGAAAACAGTAATTTGTCAACAAGAAGAGGATAAATATAATTTCTAAATGAAAAGAGTTGCACAAACATTATTCGAAAGCGAAACAGAAATGATTAATTTTTATAAAGTCTATATATATTTATTTTTAAAGCATAAACGTTATTCGAAAAAAACAAATTTTATATATATATATATGTATATAATATATTATGTAAGAGATAAATGTTTCAGTTTCTTTCTCAAGATAGATTGTGTTTAGTTTAATAAAGTTGAACCTCTGCAGATAATTTAAAAAAATATAAAATTTATAATTCTCTCCTTTTCTCTCTTCGGAATTTCCAAATATTTCCAACGTTCTCGGCTTTCCGGTAATGGGGATCGAGTGCCTTGTTTTTTTCATTCATATTTTTCGCGCGAAAAGTAACGTGGTTGGTAGTTCTAATCAGTTATAATCTTGCCCTATGTCATAATGCAACATGATGTCCATTTAAAGAGCAGCGACACATTTTCATTCCCCTTTTGGCTGTGACGAATCTTTAATTGCTGGTGACGGTGAGAAACAATGGGCAATGCTGATACAAAGCTGAACTTTCGGAAAACTGTGGTGCAATTAACGTCGAAAATTCGGATACAAATATTCGCTTATTTACTTGACGAATGACATATGATCGGCAGATCGACATATGCAAGTATAATTTTTCGACGAAATCTTGGCAGTCGCTAAATCTCTGTGATGAATTCAGAATATCTGTATTTTTTATTTTATATATACATAATATTAATGTGTTAAATAAAAAACAGGATGAACATATGTAAAACTTGATATTGCTGATAGATTATTGAAACATCATAATACAAGCTGTTTTAAGATTTGTTGCATTGCTACAACAATGACTTTTTTTTTAGATTCTGAAGTTTGATATTTGCAATTAATAAATTTTTGGTTAATTGTCAATTTATAGATAAAAAATAAATATATAGAAAGATGAGAAAATAAGTATATAGAAATAAACTGAAATATATACTTTTATTTCCATATATTTCCAATTTGTTTTAAAGAATATTACTAGACTGTGTCTAGTGATCGAATAATCCATTAATGCAAACGTATCTGCCGAAAAAATTATAAGAAATAAAAATTGTTTATTTTCTTTTCATAGAACTCTTAGAATTTTTTCAGAATTTTTTATCAACTTTTTAGTACTTCATTTTCTTATTTTTATTATTATTAGAAAATATAGTATTAAAAAATTCTGAAAAAATTTTCAGAATTCTATGAGAAGAAAATAAACAATTTTTGTCTCTTACAGTTTTTTTGTAAAATTGATAGTATTTGAGAAAAAAATTATAGAAGACCAATATTAGGCTATTTTTAGTAATTTATATTTTGTTAATTATTGCAAAAAATTACAAAATGTATGAGATTTTTTTGTTCCCCTTGACC